TTCATTTTTGTATAACCGAGCACAATATATTTTTAAAATGTGAATTCACTATTTTAATTTTAAACAGTCTAGCAACACTTTATTTTTTCAAAATGGAATTATTTTGTCCATGTTTATTTCATTTATGCACGAAATGTGTGATAATGTAGTATTGTGATGATAATATAGCAGGAAAACGTGCTATGTTATCGTAGGATATACATACGTGTGAAGTGTTTAGCATATTTTTAGCAACATATCATATTTGTTATACGTGGGAAACAAAGACAATTTTCACATTTTTGTTTATGATTGACATCAACCAAAGAGCAATGACAACTCATGTGCATTGCATGGCAGGGGATTCTAACTTGTTTTCAAGAAATGTATTCATTTGCAGAAACAATAGTTAACATTATATGCATGACCATAATCATTTTATAGAAACACCATCTTTTGATTAACGACAGTTTTTCTTTACTAATGTAAATTGCTTGTTATTAATTTTTTCAAAGTCAAAATTGTTATCTGGTCTTTATATATGCCCTTGAGATCATGTGTAAAGTTATGTTGTACTGCCTGGGATCATTAATTTGAGTAGTTTCTTTAATATTTTTTTCAGTGAGTGAATTTTCACTGTCAATTATGTGAACGCAAGGTAAATACATGAGAGATTGTTGTGCGGTATCCGGTTCATATGCAATCATTGTAGAACGCAACTTTGAGTGTACTTAATGTTACACTTGTCTATACGATACGATATTTGTCGTGCAAATACTAATGATATATATGTAAGATTACTTTAGCAACTGTTTGTTTTTATTTCACTTCACAATTATGAGCAATACAGTGGGTAAATGCCACCACAGATGAATCGAATTCAATCAGTTAGGTTTTAGAAACACCAACTTTTTTCAACTGAGATTCGACTACTGTTGACAGACATGATTGTATGTTTCTCTAATTGCTTATGCACAATTAGTTGATATATAATTGAAGAAAAAAAACGTTCGTTTAAATGATAGTTTTAACTGTAATTATTTGTGCGAATATAACATATTATCTTCCATTGCAACATTCGACGCTTCGAGTTTTTTTTTTCGAATGCAACTATGACATTTTTCATATTTTCATTTTGTTAAAATCTACACACGTTGACATTGATATATATTGCACAAATAAATACTTAATAACTATGCGTAAATTCATTTCAGCAACATGTCGAACAGTACAAATCAATCATTTCTATTAATCTTGTATTTTATTCTGTATCAAATATGAAGTATTACTACATATTTACTTTACAATTATAATTAGAGAGTACCATCCACAACTATTTTTTTTAGCCAATTACTGGGATAATTAAATGTTATTTCTGTATATGATCCAGTCATTATTCTTTAACATTCTGTGCTGTGCGAATATTCGTTACATATTGTCTCCCATTGCAACATTTGGCGCTTCGAGTTTTGTTGTTGTCGTGGGCAAGCATGACATTTTTCATATTTTCATTTTGTTAAAATCTACACACATTAACATTGACGGTAATGTATATTGGCCTAATAAATACTTGATTACTATGCGTAAATTAATTTCAATCATTGCTATTATTACGAAAAACAATGGAATCTTATATTGTATTGTGTATCAATTTTGCAGTATTACTACATATTTTACCAAATAATTTGTTACAATTTACTATCTAAAAATTATCATTGAGAATATTAACTTTAATCAATTTCAGGAATAATAAAATGTTATTTCTGTATTTTATCTAGTCATTATTCTAGAATATTCTGTGGTTTTATAACTGATAGTTATACTACCCCTCCTCGTAGATTAACGGGAAATAGCGGTTCCTTTTGGAGCCTCGGTCTGGTAAAAGTCCGAGGCGCGCAACATCAGTGAGAAAGATGTTCTCACTGATGTGCATTGAGGCGAAATGTTACATTAACAATAATAGGTCGCACAACCAACTAGGTAACATTCTGCACAAATATACACCAAACCACTACTGATCTTCATTGCAATATCACACAATTTCCCATTATTTTTACTTCACTTTTTTTTCCAAGGTACTAAATATATCAAAACATTGTACTATTTTGCTTATATGAATCTTCTCTTTCTTGTCACCAAGATTTCGGGTCATTCACCTGCCATAAAAAATTTAGTATCTCAATAATATTAGTAGTATGGGTACGTGCAAATGACGAACATTCTAATTCTCGACCACACACAATACGCCTTGCCGATGTAAGGTACACCTAAGTTCGCCCTATTTGGTAAAACAAATAAGTCGGCTTCAAACAGCATCTAAATAACGCTGATCCCCATAACTCGTTCCAGCCCATTGTACATTATCGTCTTACTTGTCACTGCAAACCTCCAGTAGTAAACTCTAGCCCACACATGCACACCGTAAATAGCTATTGGTCTATTATCCCATGTTGAACTGGTTGGACGACATTGACGCATATATTATGCACTCCCCATTTGCCAAGTTCTTAATGTAGCATTTTGACGCTTCCGAGTACTCAGGGCACTTCTGTGAAACCACTCTTGCGTTTTCGGCCCATGCTTCCAGCGAACTGATACATTTACAAAGTGACTTTTAAAGACGTATTGTAGTGTCAAGTTTTTTGGATACATAATTAATTTAAATTGTTGCATAACTGTATGACCAGAAAGTTGCTTATTTAAGTTTTGTGCATTATCAATTTGTTGCTTTGTATTTTGTTCATCATTAGACTTCCAATGAAAGCGGTGTACGTTTTATCGGGTAACAGTTTTCTGTGAGGGCGCTCTCTACGGTGGTACTTAATTACAACGCATCGACCGGGTCATCACAATGTACGATGAACTTGGACGTTAATTACCGTATTTTGTTAACAACCTTATTATTATTGTACATCCTTTTTAACAGACGTTGGTAAGAGCAGTCATGCCAAACTATCGCTTTAGGCTTTCACCAGTCGCTTTCGGTGACGTTTTTCGAT